TTAAATATTATCGTGTTATTATGAAACACCCTGTATAAGTTTCGCGCCGAAAATTAACGGGAGAGCGTGTGGCCCACACGTTTCCCGCATTGTCGTTTGACACGTGCGCCTCGATCGTCGGGAAATGCCAATTTTCCCGGCGGGAAAAGCGTTCCGAAAAAAGGTTGAGAAAAATCATCCGTCGGATTTTCCGATCGAATAATGATAATTTATCGTTATTTTTAGCCAGTCGTTTTAGCTGCTCTGTAAATGGCCATTTTTAAGGCGGGAAGTTTCCTAAATGCGATCGAGTTTTTTTTTTCAGGGAATTTTTTTTATATATTGCTAGAAAACCGCTTCTAAATCGCTTTAAAATCGCTCTAAAACCGCTTCGAAAACCGATCTAGAACCGCTCTAAAACGGCTCTAAACAGCTTCAAAACCGCTGTAATAATCTTAGAAGCCGCTCTAATCCGCTCTATAGGATGACAGTGACAAATTTCATGACAGGTTAACAGATTATATGACAGATTGACAGGTTTAATGATTGATAGATTATAAGAGAAATTGACAGGTAATATGATAAGTTGAATCCGCTCTAAAACTGCTTTAAAGCGAATTTAAAACCGCTATAAAACCATTATAAAACTCTTCGAAAGCGCTTTAAGAACATTAGAAAATCGCTTTAAACTTTTATTAAAAAATCGCTCTTAAACCACCTTATAATACCGTTCTAAGACTGCTTCAAAGTCATATTAAAACAGTTTGATAACCGCAACAAAACTACAATAAAACTTTTTAAAACCTTTCTAAAACAGCATTAAAAAACCGCTCTAAAAGTGTTTCATTCAAAGCGACTTTAAAACAGCTTCAAAACCGCTGCAAGAGCACTGTCAAACTCTTCGAAACCGCTTTAAAATACCTCCAAATTGCTATAAAAAATCGCTATACAACTAGTTGTAGCTTCAAAACCGCTACAAAACCACTGTAAAACTTTTCAAAACTATTCTAAAACGCTCTAAAACTGCTTTAAAAAACCGCTATAAAACTACTTTATTCAAAGCGACTTTAAAACCGCTACAAAACCACTGTAAAGCTGTTCAAAACCGCTTCTTAAAAACGCTCTAAAATTGCTTCATTCAAAGCGACTTTAAAACAGTTTTAAAAACCGCAACAAGAGCACTGTAAAATTTTTGAAACCGCTTTTAAACCGCTCTAAAATCGCTTAACCACCATAAATCGCCTAAAACCCACTTTAAAACCGCTCTAAAATCGCTTAACCGCCATAAAACCGCCTAAAACCCGCTTTAAAACCGCTCTAAAATCGCTTAACCGCCCTAAAACCGCCTATAAACCGCTTTAAAACCGCTCTAACAGTTGAAACAGGAATTTCATTGGCTTTAAAAAATTTCCCCAAAAAATACATCAACCTCCCGATGGTATTTTTTTTTTACCCGCTCATTCGCGCCTCTTCTTAGAACCAGACAACCGGCGACTCCCCCAACACAACAAGACGGGGGCGACATTAAATTCGTTGAACTCGTCGTCACCGTACGAGCCGGCTCAAATCCCCCGTCAATTATCCCCGCTAATTGATCAATTTTAATTAACGTGACTGCCGGATCACGTGCGAAGACGTGCGACTTACCCCCCCTCCCCCTCCCCCCCCCCGCTCTTTTTATAGTTCAAAGCGACGCATACGAGAAATTAAACGTGCATAAGAGCGCGCGTATTTAGTACAGGGTGTCCCAATAAACTCGTTAAAGGGGGCGCATTTCATTGGCACTGTGTGGAACAAGTTGAAACAGCTCTAAAACTGCTTTAAAAACCGCTCTGAAAGTACTTCGTTCGAAGCGACTTTAAAGCAGCTTCAAAACCGCTACAAGAGGACTGCAAAACTGTTCGAAACCGCTTTTAAAAACCACTTTATAAAACCGCTGTAAAATTGCTTCAAAAAGGATTTAAAACAACTACAAAACCGCTTCATAACCACTGTAAAACAATTTGAAACCGCTTTAAAAATGCTCTAAAATCGCTCTAAAAGTACTTCGTTTAAAGCGACTTTAAAACAGCTTCAAAACCGCTTCAAGAGCACTGTAAAACTGTTCGAAACCGCTTTAAAAACGCTCTAAAACCACTTTATATAACCGCTGTAAAACTGCTTCAGAGAGGCTTTAAAACAACTTCAAAACCGCTTCATAACCACTGTTAAACTATTCGAAACTGCTTTAAAAATGCTCTATAACCGCTCTAAAAGTACTTCGTTCAAAGCCACTTTAAAACAGCATCAAAACCGCTAGAAGACCACTGTAAAACTGTTCGTAACCGCTTTAAAAACGCTGTAAAACCACTTTATAAAACCGCTGTAAAACTGCTTCAGAGAGGCTTTAAAACAACTTCAAAACCGCTTCATAACCACTGTAAAACTATTCGAAACCGCTTTAAAATTGTTCTAAAACCGGCCTAAAAGTACCTCGTTCAAATCGATCTTAAAACAGCTTCAAAACCGCTAAAAGACCACTGTAAAACAGTTCGAAACCGCTCTAAAACCGCTCTAAAATCACTTTATAAAGCTGCTCTAATACTGTTCCAAAGGGGCTTTAAAACAGCTTCAAAACCGCTTCATAACCACTGAAAAACTATTCGAAACCGCTTTAAAAACGCTCTGATATAGAAAATATATCTGCGAAAATCGCACGGTTTTATGATTAGTCGTTTCAAAAATTATTTGCTCAGTAAAGGGGCTGCTTTTCATTGGGACACCCTGTATAAAATATAACGGAATCGAATCGTCTTGTGGGCGGTTTTCGATTAATATCGGTTCGATATCGAGAGTTTTATTTTCGCTTACCTAACGGTGGGAAAAAGTTGATGAAACTCCAAACCCGGTAAGGATTCCGAGCGATTGCACGACGACGACTCTGACACGTCCGAAAAACGTGTACATAATAATTTTGTTTTGCAATTCGTTGGGTATTTTTTATTTTTTCGGTTGGTAGTACTTGGAATTGGAAAATAGCAATCACCTGTCAATCTGTCATATATATAATTTTTGTACATAATTTTGTAGCATTCGCGTTTTTAATTAGTTTTAATTTGTCATATAATCTGTTAACCTGTCATTAAATCTGTAGAGCGGTTTCGAAGCGGTTTTAGAGCGTTTTTAAAGCGGTTGTGAAAAGTTTTACATTGGTTTTGTAGCGGCTTTGAAGCTGTTTTTAAGTCGCTTTGAAGTAGTTGTATAGCGGTTTTTTAAAGTAGTTTTAGAGCGGTTTTAAAGCGGTTTCGAATAGATTTACAGTCCTCTTGTACCGGTTTTTAAGCTGTTTTAAAGTCGCTTTGAATGAAACACTTTTAGAGCGGTTTTTTAATGCTGTTTTAGAGCGTTTTTAGAGCGGTTTTAAAGCGATTTCGAATAGTTTTACAGTCCTCTTGTACCGGTTTTAAAGCTGTTTTAAAGTCGCTTTGAATGAAGTAGTATTAGAGCGGTTTTTAAAAGCAGTTTTAGATCAATTTTAGACCGGTTTTAAAGCGGTTTCGAACAGTTGTACAGTGGTTTTGAAGCGGGTTTAAAGTAATTCTAAAGCCACTTTGTTTTAGAGCGGTTTTTACAGTAGTTTTAGAGCTGTTTCTGTCAACCATGAAACCTGTCATATAATCGCTATTAATCTTGAAACCTGTCAATCTGTCAATTATTTAATCTACATTCATATAATATGTCAATCTGACAACTAATGAATTTTCGAACCAGCATCATGTGTCAACTGTCAATTATTTGAAATTATTTCCGTTTTTAGCGAATTTTGAAAATGTTATTCGATAATTTGTGATTTCTGAAACTTCCATTTTTTTATTGTTTTAGTAATTTTTGGTGACTGTAGTGAAAGAACATTAAATCTGTCATATTTTCTGTCACCTGTCACCCGGAAATCTCCCAAAATTTTTAAACCATACACGAACAGGTCCTCGACCCGAGTGTAATTCAGCCACGGGTCGAGGAACCGGAGAAGAAGAAATAAAAAAAAAACCGTTATTTCATTTCCAATGCGAGAATTTTTTATCATTTGTCCTTTTATTATTATTTCCACAGGACGAATTCGTTTTCCTGCAATTTTTTATTTCTTTCCCGTCCCTTTTGTCGCAGGTCGTCGATACCGGAACGAGCGAATTAAACGCGAAAAATGATCAGATAATAAATTTTCACGAAAGAGAGAAAGAGAGAGAGACCTGTTTTATGATAATAAAGCTCTTTCAAAAAAAATCGGCGATTTAAAATAGATATCGCTTATACAGGGTGTCCCTACGTAGAATTACAATGGGACATCCTATACATATACACACAAAGTTTGCAACACTGTTAATTATTCCGTGAGTTGAACAAAGAAAGATTCTTTAAAACGACAGTTAGAGTGAGAAAGTTGCTATGACATTAATATTAATCATCCTTTCTTTTTCCTTTATGAGTGTCTTTGTTGCACCTACATACAGGGTGTCTCATAAGTTGATACTTTTTTTAACTGTGTATAGATCTTTGAATCCAAAGTAACTTTTTCAAGTATTTTTTTAATATTCCGAAAAATGAAAATAAAAGATGGAAATATTTAAAATTTCTCTAAATTTCAAATATTTTCCAATACGTACCTGCCATATTACCAATACAGGTGTCAAAAAATAATAAATAATTAATGACAAAAAAATTAATTTCTCGATTGTTGAATTGAAATTGGCTCATTTTTTACAAATAATAAATTAGTGGATATGCTGATTATTGATGGAGAGTGTTTCCAAAGCTTTTCCAATCAAAATGGCGACAATTTTGAGCAGTTCCTTTAACTTTTAATGAACAGAGCCGTTATATTAACTTTTTAATAATTAAAAATTGAAAAAAAATTATACTAGATCAACTTATGAGACACCCTGTATTGCATAATATGGGTGTAACAAGAACAACTTCCATTAGGCTCGTACAAAAGAAAAAGAAAGAGTGATATTGCGGGGTAGCAATTCTAAAGAATTGTAAACAAATTTTGCACTTACCCGTTATATTTTCCAATTTGAATCGGCACGAATGGTAATTATCTGATACAGGATGACCAGATATCACATCGGAAACTTTCGATCCACCCTGTAGGAACCCAATTTTCGAACCGTTTCGATTTTTCTTTTAAATTTGTATTTCCTTCATGCGAATTTCCACCACCGTTGCGCCATCTATAAAGAAACTTTGGTAACTGTCAAAATATAATTAAAAATTTCTCTAATTTCTATATTATTGATTACCCGCTGTTGAAAAATTGAAAAATCGTTTTGTCTATTACTGCGTACGTTTTCTAATCAACATCTTTAACTACATATGTTTTTTATTAAAAAAAAAACTACCATAATCGATTCTCATTCGATTAATCTAGTTACAAAACTGTCAACAACGGTTTTATTAATTAACCTTTCCCGTTAACAAAACGGCTTACTTTATTGAAAAAAAGTATTTATATTTTGTATACGCTGCATACTTTCTTATCAACATCTTTAACTAACTTTTTAATAAAAAAAACAACCATAATCGATTACGATTCGATTAATCTAGTTCCGAAATCGGCAACAACGCTTTTATTAATGGACATTTCCCGTTGACAGAACTGCGTTCTATAATGAAAAAAAAGTATTTATATTTCGTCTATACTGCGTACTCTCTCTAATCCACATCTTTAACTAACTTTATAATAAAAATTTACGATTACGATTCGATTAATCCAATTACAAAAACCGGCAACAACGCATCTATCGATTGACCTCATTCCCGTTGACAGAAGACAGCCCGTCGCTGTCACCGCTGTCAAATCTCAAATCCCATTCTATCGATGTCATCTGATTAGCGTGTTGTCAACAACAATAAAAAAAGCCAATATTTTGGTTTATAATCCAATCCGAATAGCCTTCAACAAACGAATTGATTTCCTCGAATATGATGTCATCTACTTCGCGTACCAAACACTAACACAAACACGGCCGACTCGATCTCAACAACGCCACTCGAAATCGATACATCCAATGGAGGGAACCCACTAAATTCACATGCATTAACGATCGAAAATCCCAGTTTAAAATGACCGTAAACGTGCCCAACATGCCCACGGTGAGGAAGTACCGCAGGGAAAGTACCGAGGTGAGCGGCTGCCTGAAATACATGATATTCGGATTCAACGTGTTGTTCTGGGTAAGCCCCGTAGCTTGTGACCTAGTTAGTAAGAGGCCGTTTTAATCTTAAAGCCGTTTCTTTCGAAGCTCCTAGGGCTCGGGATCCTGACGGTAGGCGTGTGGGCGTGGAGCGAAAAGGACATATTCAATAACTTGGGCAAAGTGGCCAACGTGGCCCTCGATCCGGCCTTCGTGTTGATCTGTATAGGTGAGTTAATATACAGGGCGTTGAGTAATCAGTGCGACAAACTTGAGGGGGTGATTGTGCGTGGAAAAATAATGATATTTTGGTATATAATCGTATGTCTGTAAATGCTTCGTTTTCGAGATATAGTGTGTTAAAGTTTCTTCTTAAAAAAACCTTAATTTCTCTGAAACCAGACGAGATTTTCTAATGAAATTTGGTGGGTTTCGAGAGGTAACTATTACGCATTTTTTGATATAAAATTAAAAATTTTATGTTCATCATTGACGCGCGTACGGGTAATAATAGCATTTTTTTAAAGGAAAAATTAATTGGTACGCCACTGAGGTATTTTTATTGAAAATTCAATTACGAATGAATTCCTCGCTCAATTTGCGACAAAAAAACCCTCTTGTATTTTTTTCATGCGGGGCGCTGTTTTCGAGTAAAAAAATAAAACATCTTGACGTGTATTTTTCATTTCCTCAATACTGTATATAGGATTAGTTTATTTTATTTTTTTTGTGATAAATGAGTTTAATGGTGTTGTTTTGCAGGTACCGTAACGTTTGTGATAGGCTTCACGGGATGCGTGGGGGCGCTTCGGGAGAACACTTGCCTTTTAGCCGCTGTATGTACACGATCGTAATTCATTACTAGTTTAGAAATGAAGAAGTTTAGAAATGAAGAAGTTAGAAAGAAAGAAAAATTGGCACGTTTGGTCTCTTTAATTTGTCCGATATGTTCGTTTTTAAACGATTCTGGACCGTTCTAAATGGTTCTACACAGTTCTAAACGATTCTGGAGCATTCTAAATGATTTTGGAGCGTTCTAAATGGTTCTGGAGCATTCTAAATGGAGCATTCTAAATGGTTGTAGACAATTCTAAATGATTCTAGACAGTTTTTAATGATTTTAAACAGTTCTAAATGAACCCAAACTTTTTTAACGATTCCAGAGAGTTCTAAATGAATCATCTGGAGCTTTCAAAATGATTCTGGATTGTTCTAAATAGTTCTTTACAGTTTTTGATGATATTAGACAGTTCTAAGTGATTCTGCATTATTCTAAATGATTCAAGATAATTCTAAATGATTGTGGACAGATCTAAATGATCATAGATAGTTCTAAATGAATCATCTGGAGGGAATCATTCTGGATAGTTCTTAATGGTTCTAGACAGTTCTAAACGAGTCTAGACAGTTATAAATGATTCTGGAACATTCTAAATGGTTCTGGAGCATTGTAAATTGTTGTAGACAATTCTAAATGATTCTAGACAGTTTTTAATGATTTTAAACAGTTCTAAATGAACCCAGATATTTTTTAACGATTCTAGACAGTTCTAAATGAATCATCTGGACAATTATAAATGATTCTAGATAGTTTTAAATGATTCTAGACAGTTTTTAATGATTTTAAACAGTTCTAAATGAACCCAGATATTTTTTAACGATTCTAGACAGTTCTAAATGAATCATCTGGACAATTATAAATGATTCTAGATAGTTTTAAATGATTCTAGACAGTTCTAGATGATTCTAGATAGTTCTAAATGATTGTGGACAGATCTAAATGACCCTAAATAGTTCTAAATGAATCATATAAAGCGTTCTAAATGATTCTGGATAGATCTTAATGAATTTATACAGTTTTAAATGAGTCTAGACAGTTTTACCTGATTCTAGACAGTTCTAAATGATCCTAGATAGTTCTAAATCAATCATATAAAGCGTTCTAAATGATTCTGGATAGATCTTAATGAATTTATACAGTTTTAAATGATTCTAGACAGTTTTACCTGATTCTAGACAGTTCTAAATGATCCTAGATAGTTCTAAGTAAATCATATGGAGCGTTCTAAGTGATTCTGGATAGTTCTTAAAGATTCTATATTCAGTTTTTGATGATTTCAGATACTTTTAAATGATTCTTGACAGTGTTACATGATTCTGGCGCGTTTTAAATGGCTGTAGACAATTCTACAAAACAATCAAAGACAAAGACAAATCAATCCAGACCGTTTTTAATGATTTTAAACAGTTCTAAAAGAACCTAGACGGTTTTTAATGATTCTGGACAATTCTAAATGATTGTAGATAGTTCTAAACGATTCTACACAGTCCTAAATGAATCTGGAATTTTCTACCTGAATCTGAAACATTATATCTGAATCTTGAACGTTCTACATGAATCTGAAGTGTTCTAAACGATTCTAGACAGTTCTAAAAGATTCTGGACAGTTCTAAATGATTCTGGTCAGTTTTAAAACCCATTATCCTACGTTATTTGTAAACTAAATAGCAATTAACCCCAATCGATTAACAATTTATTAGATAATTATATTATATTTCCAGTATGCTCTATTCTTATCGGTGTTGCTCCTGTTCGAAATGACCGCCGGAATACTCGGATTCATCTTCAAAGATTGGGTAAATTTATTCCAGCATGTATTATTCGATTCATATACGATTTTAATACACGTTTTGTTTTTTTAAATTCGTTTCCAGATCAAATCGCAAGCGACCATCGGCTTTCAAACGTTCATTATACATTACAGAGAGGATCCCGATCAGCAGAATCTCATCGATTGGATACAGGAGGATTGGGTAAGGTTCACAGATTGGTTTTTAAATGGTTCTGGAGCGTTCTAAATGGTTCTAGATAGTTCTAAACGATTCTGGAGCATTCTAAATGTTTTTGGAGCGTTCTAAATGGTTGTAGACAGTTCTAAACGATTCTGGAGCATTCTAAATGTTTTTGGAGGGTTCTAAATGGTTCTGGAGCATTCTAAATGGTTGTAGACAATTCGTAATGATTCTAGACAGTTTTTAATGATTTTAAACAGTTCTAAATGAACCCAGATATTTTTTAACGATTCTAGAGAGTTCTAAATGAATCATCTGGAGCGTTCAAAATGATTCTGGAGCGTTCTAAATGTTTCTAGACAGTTATAAAATGCGTTGTTAACGATTCTGTAACGATTCTAAATGATTTCTGGAGCGTTCTAAATGATTTCTGGAGTGTTCTAGATAGTTCTAAACGATTCTGGGGTGTTCTAAATGGTTCTTAAGCGTCCTTTATGATTTTAGTCTGTTCTAAATAGTTCTGAAACGTTCTGAATGATTTTGGATACTTTTAAATGAATCTGGAACGTTCTAAATGGTTCAGAAGCGTTCTAAATGAGTTTAGATAGTTCTAAATGGTTCTGGAACGTTCTTAATGGTTTTAGACAGTTATAAAATGCGTTGTAAACGATTATGGAGCGTTCTAAATGATTTCTGGAGCGTTTTAAACGGTTTTAGACAGTTCCAAATGATTCTGGAGCATTCTAGATAGTTCTAAATGATTCTGGAGCGTTATAAATGATTCTAGACAATTCTAAATGATTCTATCTAGTTCTAATAAACTGCTCTACAAAAGTTAAGGAAATTCGCAATTATTTTAAAAGCTACAGACTTTTTGATCGCCAAATTTTCAAATATGCGAAATTAAATGTTTTCTCTCATATCTGAATGGATTTTTTGCCCCCACCTCTACAACTCATACTAAATCCGGCGATCAAAAAACCTGCAACTTTAAAATTAATCCCAATATTTGTGAACTTTCTTAACTTTTGTGGAACGGTATATTTTCTTGGATGTCGTTCGCCTTTATAAATTAATTTAATTCGCTTGTAATTGAACGTATGTAAAATGTAAATGTACTTTAATTGATGTATAATCGAATCGTTTTTTTTTTATTTTTAATTTTTCTTGTAGTTGCAATGCTGCGGAATCGAGAGCCCGAAGGATTGGGATAAAAACAATTATTTCAATTGCTCGTCGAGAGCGGTGGGCAGCAGGGAGGCCTGCGGAGTGCCATTTTCCTGTTGCAAGAGAAAACCGAACGTAAGTCGATCAATTAAATTAATAATTTTAGATAATTATTATTTTTGTTTTCGGTTTTTTTTTTCATCCCGTAGGAGATAATAAAGAACAAACAATGCGGATACGACGTTAGAAAACCGGGATTTGTAAGTATTATTTTATTAAAATATTAAATAAAGTCTAAATGTTTATTTAATTTACACGAGAAAGAGTGAGAAAAAGAGTTTCGGTTTGTTTTGAACTTTTTTGAGGTAATATGACAGGTTATTTGACAGGTGGACTGTTTTTATGACAGGTTGACAGTTTTTATGATAGATTGACAGTTTTTATGATTGGTTGACAGTTTTTATGATTGGTTGACAATTTTTATGACAGACAGTTTTCATGACAGTTTGACAGTGTTTATGACAGGTTGACAGTTTTCATAAAAGTTTGATAGTTTTCATGAAAGTTTAACAGTTTTCATGACATGTTGACAGGTTTAGTGACAGTTTGGCAAGATTTATGACATGTTGACAGTTCGTATGAAAAATTATATTAAAATGACATTTTTTTGGCACGTTGGCGAGTTTTTATGAAACGAGTTGAGAGGTTTTATGACAGGTTGACAGTTTTTAAGACTATGAAGCTATAGAGCAGATTGACAGATTGTCAAAATGTATGACAGGTTGACAGGTTATATGACAGTTTAACAGATTTATGATATGTTGACAGATTATATTACGATAGATGACAGATTGTCAGATTATATGACAGATGGACAGGTTACATGACAGTTTGGCAGGATTGATGACAGTTTGGCAGTTTTCATGACAGTTTGACAGGTTTAATGACAGTTTGGCAAGATTTATGACATGTTGACAGTTCTTATGAGAAATTATATTGAAATGACATTTTTTTACGACACGTTGGCGAGTTCTTATGACACGAGTTGACAGGTTTTATGACTATGAAGCTATAGAGCAGATTGACAGATTGTCAAAATGAATGACAGGTTGACAAGTTATATGACAGTTTAACAGATTTATGATATGTTGACAGATCGATGACAGATTTTCAGATTATATGACAGATGAATAGGTTACATGACAGTTTGGCAGTTTTCATGACAGTTTGACAGGTTTAGTGACAGTTTGGCAAGATTTATGACATGTTGACAGTTTGTATGAAAGATTATATTAAAATGGCATTTTTTGGCACGTTGGCGAGTTTTTATGAAACGAGTTGAGAGGTTTTATGACAGGTTGACAGTTTTTAAGACTATGAAGCTATAGAGCAGATTGACAGGTTAATAGGGTTTGTCAGATTATGTGACCACATTGACATGACAGTTTAACAATATTTATGACATGCTGACAGGTTATATGACAGATTGTCTGATTATATGATAAATTGGCAGAATACATTACAATTTGACAGATTATAATATTACAGATTATCAAATTTTATGATAGATTGACAGTTTACATGACAGGTTACATGACACATTGACAGGTTATATGACACATTTAATTTTACGACGTGTTGACGGGTTATATGACAGATTGACAGGCTACATACATGACAGATTGCCGGAAGTATGACATGTTGACAGATCATATGGCAGTTTAAATGACAGATTGACGGGATTTCGAACAGAAAAAAAAGCAACAAAATTGTTGAATGTGTTGTTGTTGTGCAGCCAGGAGAAAGGCACATATTCGAAAGGGGTTGTCTGAGATCGGGCGAGGAATGGATCGAAAGTAATTTAGTACCGGTGGCCGCCGTCAAAGTCGGAACTATGGTACTACAGGTATACAAAAAAAAAAATTACATAACAAGATGTCACACCGAAAATCTATTACAAAATTAATTATATTGCATTTGCCGGGTTCGATTCGCTCGTTAGAATCGAAAGAAAAAATCGATCAAAAATCGATTCGAAATCGATCGTATATGACGTTAAGAGCGCGTTTGAACGTTTTGTAATGCAATATTGCAGAAATTTATTGCAATGTTGCACTGCAACTTGCAATATATTGCACTGCAACTTGCAATATATTGCACTGCAACTTGCAATATATCGCACTGCAACTTGCAATATATTGCACTGCAACATGCAATATATTGCACTGCAACTTGCAATATATTGCACTGCAACTTGTAATATATTGCACAGTATGAAAACGATCTAAAGCGTTGATTCTAATGTATCAAATGGATCGATTCTAACGGGCGATCGAGGGTGAGATCGATGTCGTTGCGAAATGAATGCACTTTCTTTTTTTTTCTCATATGTATTATGCGCTTTTCGTTTCTCTCTCTCTACGTTATTGTTATTATTATTATTATTTGTACTTGGCTCTAATTGCAGAATTTCGATGTGTCGAAAATAATAAACGAACAGGGCTGTCTCGAGGCCATCGAGGATTGGACCGAAAAAAATATGATTTCGATAGCTTCTTGCATTTTTGTTGTCTTGTTTTGCCACGTAAGTGTTTTTCTTTTTTCGGTTTTTATTTTCAGATTTTTTTTTTTTTTGATTTGGTTTGGTTCGGTTTCCTGGCACCCGTTTGGCGAAATCGCTCTGCGCATGCTCCACGCCTCTATACTCGTTTAGTCGTGCTTGTAGAGTAGTAAAGTTCGTACGTTTTGAAATGACAATGACGTGGTTTTTGGTAATTTCAGGGCGGTTCGAAATTTCCCTATAGTGTCGAAATGGTAATTCTGTCATTTGACTTGGGGGAATTTTACGATGCAAGGTTGAAATGCCGATGCGTTGTTGCCATATCGTTAGTATTAAAATTCTAATTTCTAAATGATTCTGGCGAGTTCTAAATGGTTCTGGAGCATTCTAAAATGGTTTTAGACAGTTCTAAATGATTATGGAGCGTTCTAAATGATTCTGGAACGTTCTAAATGATTTTAGACAGTTTTAAATGATTCTGGAGCATTCTAAAATGGTTTTAGACAGTTTAATATGATTCGGGAGCGTTCTAAATGATTTTAAACAATTTTAAGTGATTCTGGAGCATTCTAAAATGGTTTTAGACAGTTTTAAAATGATTCTGGAGCATTCTAAATAATTCTGGAACGTTCTAAACGATTTTAGACTGTCTTAAATGATTCTGGAGCATTCTAAAATGGTTTTAGACAGTTTTAAAATGATTCTGGAGCGTTCTAAATAATTCTGGAACGTTCAAAACGATTTTAGACAGTCTTAAATGATTCTGGAGCATTCTAAAATCGTTTTAGACAGTTTTAAAATGATTCTGGAGTGTTCTAAATGATTTTAGACAGTTCTAAGGGATTCTGGAGCGTTCTAAATGATTCTGGAACGTTCTAAATGATTTTAGACAGTTTTAAATGATTCTAGATCATTCTAAAATGGTTTTAGACAGTTTTAAATGATTCTGAAGGGTTCTAAATGATTCTAAACAGTTCTAAATGATTCTGGAACGTTCTAAATGATTGTAGACAGTTTTAAATGATTCTGGATCATTCTAAAATGGTTTTAGAATGATTCGGGTGCGTTCTAAATGATTTTAGACAATTTTAAACCTTTTTGGTGCATTTTAAATGTTTCTAGACATTTTTAAATGATTCTTAAGCCTTCTTAATGATTCTAGATAGTTTCAGATGATTCTGCAACGTTCTAAATGATTCTGGAGCCTACTAAAATGGTTTTCGATGGTTTTAAAATGATTCGGGAGCGTTCTAAATGATTTTAAACAATTCTAAATGATTCTGGGGCATTCTAAAATGGTTGTAGGTAGTTTTAAAATGATTCGGGAGCGTTCTAAATGATTCTAAAACCTTCTAAATAATTCTGAAGCCTTCTAAATGATTCTGAAGCCTTCTAAATGATTCTAGACAGCTCTAAATGATTCTGGAGTATTCTAAACGGTTCCTAACATCTAATTAATTGATCAATTACAATCCGGCAACGTTGCAATAACCTGCTTCAAGACGTCATTGTCATTCATAAAACGTACGAACTTTTACAACGTTTTACGTTAACAACATAACAAAATCTTTACGAACACGTAATATACACTGACGTCACTGCATCTAACCAATCACTTTGCTCCGTTTCCACTCGATTTCTACAATCGACCAATAAAAAAACTGTTGCCGAGCAATGACGTCACCGTATATATCGTTCGGTATCGCCGAGGCCTCGTCCGTTGGGGTTATTCGGCGATTAAAGATTCTGTTGCATCATTCGACCGATTAATCGAATTTAATTCAATAATTTCGTATCGATTCTAGATATTGGGGATATGTTTCGCGCAGAACCTGCGCGCAGACATATTCGCGCAGAAGGCGAAATGGCATTGACAATCGAGAACTCCCACGGCCGTCTAGTACAGGATGGCCTGGGAGGATGACGGTCAACAGACCTTCGTTTGATTCTTCTCTCTCTGTCTCGCTCTCTCTCGCTCTCTCTTCGATATATATATACGAGTAGATTGGTTAAATAGAGGACAAATGGACGCTTCCCTCCCTCCCCATTCCAGGATGATGAAAAGGACCCCAGGATTCGACGAGATCGGATGTTGTTTTTTTCTTGTCTTGTTGTATTTTTCGAATGTTTCGATTTTTTTTTTGAAATTTTGGAATTTTTCGAATTTTTCGAATTTTTCGAATTTTTTCAATTTTTGGAGTTTTTCGAATTTTTTTGAAATTTTTCAATTTTTTGGATTTTTCGAAATTTTCTAAAATTTCGAATTTGATTCAAATTTTTCGAATTTTTCGCATTTTTCGAATTCTTCAAAATTTTCGAATATTTCGACTTTATTCAATTTTTCGCTTTTTTGGAATTTTTTCTAAATTTTCAATTTTTTTGGGATTTTTCGAAACCTTTGGAGTCTTTCGAATTTTTCAAATTTTTGGATTTTTTTAATTTTTTACGATTTATTGGAATATTTCGAAATTTTTGATTTTTATTCAAATTTTTCGAATTATTCAAAATTTTCGAATAATTCCACTTATTCAAAATTTTTGATTTTTTGTAATTTTTTGAAACTTGAAAATATCGAATTTTATTCAATTTTTCGCTTTTTTGGAATTTTTCTAAATTTTCAATTTTTTGGGATTTTTCGAAACTTTTGGAGTCTTTCGAATTTTTCAAATTTTTCTATTTTCTTGAATTTTTCCGAAATTTTCGAAATTTTTGGATTTTTAAAATTTTTTACGATGTATTGGAATATTTCGAAATTTTTAATTTTTATTCAAATTTTTCGTATTTTTCGAATTATTCAAAATTTTCGAATATTTTCACGTATTCAAATTTTTTGATTTTTTGTAATTTTTTGAAACTTTTGAAAATATCGAATTTTATTCAATTTTTCGCTTTTTTGGAATTTTTCTAAATTTTCAATTTTTTGGGATTTTTCGAAACTAGTTTTTCGAATTTTTCAAAATTTTCTATTTTCATGAATTTTTCGAAAATTTGGAAATCTTCGAAATTGTCGAAAATTTCGAATTCAATTCAATTTTTCGAAATTTTCGAGTTTTATTCAAATTTTTCAATTTTTTGGAATTTCTCAAATCGCCTCCGGGCGATTAGTATTCGTGTAAATTTTGTAAATACTTCCTGTTTGCGAGCGATGATATTATATTATATTATATATTTTTACGATTAATTCGATTGTTGCGATTAAAATCGATTAATCGATTGTGATACGCGATCATTCCTGCGATTTGAAATCTCGACTTACAGGACGTCCCGAAGTGGATTCGAGTTCGGCGAATCCATCGCCCGGTTCGTTCGAAACTCTCTATTTTTTGGGACGCACTGTATAATTTGGTGATCGAGACGCTTGTATTTGATATTAAGGTAACTTTATTTGTGCATTTTAACATGTGATTTTTACACCTCTAAGGCTCATTTATACTATATGTTTTGTCTATACAGGGTGTCCCACGATGAGTTAAAATTATCTGTGTATTAAGAAACTACTTATCCGATTTCAATAATATTTTGGTATGTATTTTATTTAGCAATAAAATGAAGGATGTCGTAATCAAGAAGAATTTACATGGCCAACTTATAAAAACTATTTAATTGAGAATTAGGCAGAAATGTAAGTTTTAAGTAAAATGTTTAATATCTTTAAAAACTATTAGGTTTAGGTATAGGGAAGTAAACATGAACTTCCCTTATTTTTTACCGCTGATTTCATTTAAATAGAAAAAAATGGGTGGTTCCATTTAAAAAAATAAAGAAATTTGATATTTTTGAAGTTCAACTTTTCGCATTTTTTGTACACACCCTGTATAAAATAAAAAGTTTTTTAACGCAGATTCAAATACCTTTGACCTTACTAGTAGCCCTCCTACAAAAACCATTTCCATATCTTTAAGGGCATTCGCTTAAAAAAATAATTTATAAGGGTCTGCATCGGTCAAATTTTTCAAAAAAAAATTTATAACTCAAAAAGTATGCATTTTTGAAAAAAGTGTTTCAAACAAAAGTACCCTAAAATTTTACGTAGATTTCGAAAATACATCAATATACAGGGTGTTCCATTTGAAATAACAAAGTTAACACCTACTTCCGGTATAACCGGAAGTGGTACGACTGTCAAAATATTTTTAATAACTTCATCTTATTACAAAACATATACATACCAAATATTATTGAAATCGGATAAGTAGTTTCCTATGTACAGATAGTTTAAACTCGTCGTGGGACATCCTGTATAATGTGTTCGATTTAACGTATCGATGACGTCGCAATTTGAAAAAAAAAAATGTATTGAAATTTGGAATTTTTGGGACAGACTGTATGTAAGCAACTTTATTTGTGCATTTTAAATGTGATTTTTATATTTTTAAGGTTCAATTACTAAATTTATTTATTTTTTTCGAATATAGGATGTTCAAGTTAACGTATCGATGACGTCACGACGTGAAAAATCGCGTATAGTGTGTTTAATAATTACATTTCGTGACGTCATTGGATGGGTAACTCGATTTGGTATGCACAAGAACCGGTAAACGAACCTGATTTTGATATTTTTTTTTTTATTTACATATATTTTTTTTATATATATTTTTACTGTTTTTGATTAAATCAAGCTAACAATTTGTACCTTATATTGCAATTCGAATTTGTCACAATAAAAAGCGCGAGATTTTATTGTATTATATATTTGAGAAAAATTGAATGCTTAGATATACAGGGTGTTTCTGAAATAAGTGGAGAAACTTTGGGAGCAAATAGAGAACTTCAAATATGATAAGAACTTAAATGTCATTTTTATCGAAATGTCAAGTTTTTGAAAGAATTCATTCCTACTAGATTTTTAAAGATGACAAAATAGTTTAATAATTTTCTGTATCGGAATTTTAAAAGTAATTTTTCACGAAAACGGTTCACTTTACGAAAAATCAACAAGTACACCTTGTTTATGTAAAAAACTTCATTTTTTAATAATTTTTAAACAAATCAATTGAAAAGATTAAAATAAAAAAGTTAGGTTAGAATAACCCCACGAACCCCCCATTTTAACCCACTTCTGGACAACTTTTTTAACCCAATTAAACAGCACCCTAAGACATTTCATTTACTTAGTACTTGCACAAAATTTCATAATTTTATCTTCACTATTAATGAAAATATTTACAAAAATAGCTTCCATCTTTAACACCCTGTATACCGATAACCAATGACATTTCGATAAAATGACATTTAAGTTTTCGTCATATTTTGAAATTCTCCACTCCCTCCCAAAGTTTATTAGTCCCACTTATTTCGGAAACACCCTGTATGTAACTTTGTCTGGAATTTTGTGATCCGTTCGCGGTGTTTATTATAGTAGGCTTGGTGAATAAATCTAGGGAGTTTTTGGTTTTTTTTTTTGGTAACATTGTAACGTCCCTTTATGGGGATATTTTTTTTTTTTTGAAAATATTTGTAATTTTAACAAAACTAATTTTTTGAACTAACCCAAAAGCCTTTTCAGACGACGCGTACGGATTGTACTATACCTAAGTTTAATTCGAATTTTTCACAATAAAAAAAGTGAGATATAAATTGTATAACATTTGCGAAAAATAAAAATAAAATAGTTTTAACATTTCTTAAATTCGTTCGTTTCATTTCGCCGCCATTTTCGATATCCTCTTTTGGAAAATTATACTCCGTTCACCTTTAGGCACTAATTCAACACTTTTCATTGGGACACCCTGTATAGACGCGATTTATTTAGGCGCAATATCAAATATTTTATTAAAATGTTTCTTTAAATGGTTTAATATTGATACACCCCACTTTAGTAGCGCCATCTTGTATACAGGGTGTCCAGAAAATAGATATCAATAATTCGGGATGACTAATATTTATATTTTGGACACCCTGTATAGGGTGTTAGTTAATTGAGTAATACTTCAGGATGTGAATGTTTGGATGATTTTAAGAAGAAAAGTTTATATCGATGCATGTCCTAAACCTTTTAGTTTTCGAGATATACAGGGTGTTATAATTAAAAAAAATAAATAAATTTTCTATCGTAATTTTCTTATTACTCCGGATATTTTTGTGAAATTTTGTATACACTTTGTAATGATTAAGGAGCGTTTTTTGAGTAGAAAGATTTTTTAAAATTTTTACCAGTGACGTCCGTACGGGGTTCGAAGTGAATATGATTGAAGAAAAAATGGTACGAGTACGCCACTGATTTTTATAAAAACCAAAAATATTTTTAAAATCGTCGTTTATTTCGGAGCAAATTCGATTCGAAGATTTACATACTTTCGTACAATTTTTCTCAAGTTCATTTCGAGACTGGCTTTTGATATTTTTTTTGAAATTTGCCCACCATGCATGGAAACACTTTTTTGTGGGGGGATAAAAATTAACTTTCTACTATTACCAGTGGCGTCCACGTCCGAAATTTCATAAAAATATCCGGAGTTACAAGAAAATTACGATAGAAAATTTATTTATTTTTTTCTAAATTTATAACACCCTGTATATCTAAAACTAAGAGGTTTAAGAGGTTTGATATAAACTTTTCTTCCTAAAATCATCCAAACAATTCACATTTCACATATTCTTTCACAATAATTAATTTTAGACGCTTTTTTCAAACCATTTTCGACCTCTTTTAACCCCCTTTCAACCCCAAAACTTCGTATTCGTACGCCCTGTAGGCATAATAAATAAAATAGTCTACAAAAAAAAAAAAAAAACTCGACAAGTATAATCTTCACAGCGTTTTATTTTCTCCTCTCCTCCAACTCTCGCCCCTCCAAATAAATCTCATCGTGTCCCAAACATACAACCTATATACAGGGTGGTCCTCTAAGAACGGCTTTCGGCCATATCTCGCTAAACTAATTGTCATAGAGACTTGCTGTAAGAAAATCTTATGACAAAATCGGCCAAAAGAAAATGCTGGAAATAATTTTTAGGTCTCTAAAATGACCGCTAGGGGGAGTATTCGCCATCTTGATTTTTTAAAGTAATTTTTTTCAATTTTTTCCTAAATAAAGGTATCAAAAATGTGTTTTATTTTGATAGTTAAGATAAATTCGATTATTTTATGTTATATATTTTTGACTCTATCTTTTAAAATAAAGTGGTGAGGGTGGTTTGAATATTTTGACAAATAAATGTTAATAACTTTTAAATGGCTGAACCGTTTTTCAAAAAAATGAAATTATTGAAAAGGGCTTTCTTTGGTCTATAATTTACGCTATATAAGATATTATTTTAATTGCTTGCTTGGCCGCGAGATGGCGTTTTTCGACATTACTTCAAACAACACCGATTTTCTATATTTCTATATTTCTATATTTTTGACTCTATATTTTATAATAATAATAATAATCAAAATAAAATCAAAATAAGGGTACAACTTCATGTAAATTTTATTAATTTGAGTCCCCATTTTTGAGCCAGAGGCCTTTAAGTTGAAAATTTAAAACTTATTTTTTTTTATTTTAAAACTCTATTTTTAAAATTGAAATTTCTCTAAAACCGTTAATTTTATCGACTTCAAACAAGAGTACATTTTTGTTAGTTCATCGATTAAAGAATGTATTTACGATACGTTTGTGTTATACAGATTGTCCCCATAAAAGTTACGAATTGTTAATCACTGGAAAAACGCCGCCACTGTCTTCCAGAGAATAGTGTAGGATTCATTTTATCACCAATTTGAGCACACGAGTGTAGGTAATAAACCACAAAAATTTTATATTGTTCCCATGTATAACTTGGAAATAAAACGTAAAAATAAGTTTTAAATTTTCAACTTTAAAGGCCTCTAGCTCAAAAATGTGGGCTCAAATTAATAAAATTCATATGAAGTTGTACCCTTATTTTCATGTCATTTATACGCTCGCGAGATATTAACTTCTATATTTTTGGACACCCTGTATATTCTTCTATTTTATTTATATTCTTCTATTAGTTTATTCTTCTCTACCCTGTATATTCTATAAAGGTCAATTGTACACTAAATATTGTACTCACACTGTTAAATATATTTCAGTTGATAAAGGAATTTAATATTTAATGAATACATCCACCATTTAAAAACGTCAAACAGTTACTCTCCAATTATCAATTTGTTCTTGTCATTTTACTATTTAACAATCCTCAGATTTCCTCAGATTTCCTCAGATTTCCTCAGATTTCCTCCTCAGATTTCCTCAGATTTCCTCAGATTTCCTCAGATTTCCTCAGATTTCCTCAGGGCGGAAAATCCTCAGAAAATCCTCAGATTTCCTAAACTCTACAAAAGTCCGGCAACACCGCCTAAACTTATAACGTAGTAAATCATATGTGACTTGTTTTACACCCACAATACACACGCTAAGAAGAAAAAAAAAAAAGAATAAGAAGAAGAAGAACAAGAATAAGAAGAAGAAATATTAGAAGATAAAGAAGCAAAAAAAAAAGTCCAGTTGTGTGTAATGTAAATTGTAACCGATAGGCGAGGCGTCGCGACGCAAGCGTTCCCGCGACGCCGCCGCCGCCGCCGCCGCCGCCGGAAAGTTTATTCGGGCGACCGTTCAGTCGACGTCCGGGAAAAGCCGGGGGAAAATCGCGCGCGCTCGGAAAACTCGCAGTTTGTGTGTGAAACGCGTGAAACGGATTTTCGCGAATGAAAAGGGAAATTTTCTCGCGACCGAATTTATTGTAAGTTTTGCTGTGTTTTGCTTATTATTTTATGTTTCGAAATGGTAACCTGCTGGTAAATTTAACGGTGGGTTAAAATCGAGCATCGATGAGTTAAATGATTAAATTTGGGATTTGAGTACTCGAAAAGTTATTGGTATAACTTTAACAGTACGATTAAATAGTGTTTATGTAACTGTAAGTTAACAGAGATTTATTCGAGCTATTTATATGATATTTTATTAGTTTATTTTAATTGAAAGTGGATTAAATTTGGTGATTTTTTTTTCTTTTGATTGGTTGTCAATGCAAATTTAACAGTAGGTTGGTTCTCAAAAACCTTTTGGTAACTTTAACAGTACGTTAAATAGTGTCATCAATAATCTATACTGGTAAATTTAACAGTAGGTTATAATGGGCATCGTCGAATTAATTAATTAAATTTTTGGTGAGGATTGGTTCTCGAAAAGTTATTGTTATAACTTTAACAGTGCGTTTAAATAGTGTTTAAGTTACTGTAAGTTAACAGAGATTTATTCGAGCTATTTATATGATATTTTATTAGTTTATTTTAATTGAAAGTGGATTAAATTTATTGATTTTTTTGCTTTTGATTGGTTGTCAATGCAAATTTAACAGTAGGTTGGTTCTCAAAAACCTATTGGTAATTTTAACAGTACTTTAAATAGTGTATTATTAATGAGTAATGCAATTTGTTTAAGTTACTGTTAATTAACAAGGACTTATTCGATCTGATTATATGATATTTTATTATTTTATTTTAACAGAAAGTGGAGGATTAAATTTGGTGATTTTTTTTGCATTTGATCGGTTGTCAATAACCTGCCGGTAAATTTAACACTAAGTTAAATTGCTTCTTGTGGAGTTTAGTGATTAAATTCGATGGTGTTTTGCCTTTGTTAGGAGCTTGAAAACTTATTGGTAACTTTACCAGTATGTTAAATAGTGCATTTAATGCATTTTTTAGTGCGGTATGCGATTTGTTGTTAGTTAACAGGAACTTATTCGAGCTGTTTATATGATATTTTATTAGTTTATTTTAATCGAAAGTGGATTAAATTTTTGGCTTTTGATTGGTCTTCCTGCATAACCTGCTGGTATATTTAACAGTAAGTTATAAAATATGAAATGTCAACGTATTTTTTAATTACTCAGTAATTCAGATAATTACTAATAGGTTTATTTCTTTATTTATTTATCGAGAACCTTTTTTTTTTTCGAAAATGATCAGTTTATAACAAGTATATTCAGAATAGAAATAAATAAAATATTATATAAACGAATTAAACGGTGTAGGAAACGTCAATTTGAATTAATTTAAATAATGGTTCAATTTGTTAAATTCGATAATCTCCGTGGAAATTCGTTATAGATCCGTCGAAGGATTCGAAATTGTAACAACTCGCTTTAATAAACCGATAAAATCGAAATAATAAATCAAAATCGTGCCAAAAAATGGTTCCAAATCGATTCAAAACATATTCGGAACAGTCCAGAACAGTCCAGAATAGTCCAGAGTAGTCCAGAACAGTCTAAAACAGTCCAGAACGGTCCAGAACGGTTTAAAACTGTTAACAACAGTCCAGAATACGACCATTTCTCGATTAATTTCTCGAATCATAACTCAAAATGATAAAAAAAATCGATTCAGAACAAAATTGTGTAAAATTCGGAACGCTCCAGAACGGTTCAGAACTGTTTATAACTGTCCAAAATTCTCCAAAACAGTCCGGATGGATTCAAAAATCTAATTTCTCGTACATACCCCGTATATTCGCCTAACAATTGAAAATAAAAAAAAATCAGTACAATCGTGTAAGATTCATAACCTCCCGGAACGGTTCGGAACTGTCCGAAACAGGTTGGAAATAGTTCTGGACCGTCTGAAACGAATCAAAAAACTAACTTCTCGAACATACCCCGTATATGTGCA